GTTGGAGTTACAGTGGACAGAGGTGACATTATACAGAATGTTGGATTTACAGTGGACGGAGATGACATTATACAGAATGTTTGAGTTACAGTGGACAGAGATGACATTATACAGAATGTTTGAGTTACAGTGGACAGAGATGACATTATACAGAGTGTTGGAGTTACATCTAATAATTTGTGACTGCAAATAAGTGTCTTCAGTATATTCATACATCCACACAATTGATGATAAATCGTATTTTGCTTCATCTAAATAGCCTTCAAAATCTACCTTTTAATTATTAATTATTGTTCTCTAAAGTAAATGCTTTCGTGTAGCTTACTGTTCGTTAATAAGTGTTCATATTCCGTTTCGAAACGTTAATTTTGTTTCGCCAAGTTGCGTATTCATGCAACATACGTAACTTAATTCTTAATATTAAGTGATATTACAAATGGTTAATATTTTTTCTCTTTTTTAGGTCGCAATATCATTTTATCTTTTTAAAATGAAAAGAGGATATATATGAGTTATATATGATGATACAATTTAACAGAACCCTGAAACAATAAAACTGTGGCTTTTGTTTTTCCGCCTAACAGAAACAAACGTTTTCATAAACATACTAACTTTGTAAAATCAGTTAAACTTGCGTCAAACATTTAAAAGATAAACCACGAGATGATCTGATATAAACTAAGTTTTACTGACGTGTTGTCTTAGTTTTTGTGAAAGAAATGACGATAAACTTTATTAAGCAAGAGAACAATTCTGCGTTTAGTTTTATGGTGCTGAATGTTCACGAATAAGTTTGAACAAACTGCTTTATGATCCCATTAATAAACGGCAAGTCCTATTCTTATCGATACTGTAAAAACAACAACAAAAAACAAACGGCAAGTCCTATCCTTATCGTTTCTGTTAAAAACAACCGTCAAGTCCTATCCTTATCGTGTGTGTTAAAAAAAAAACGGCAAGTCTTATCCTTATCGTGTCTGTTAAAAAAAAAGGCAAGTCCTATCCTTATCATGTCTGTTAAAAAAACCCGGCAAGTCCTATCCTTATCGTTTCTGTTAAAAACAACAACAAAAAACAAACGGGAAGTCCTATCTTATCGTTTCTGTTAAAAACAACCGGCAAGCCTTATCCTTATCATGTCTGTTAAAAAAAAACAGGCAAGTCCTATCCTTATCGTTTCTGTTAAAGAAAAAAACAAACGGCAAGTTCTATCTTTATCGTTTCTGTTAAAAAAAACCGGCAAGTCCTATCCCTATCGGTTCTGAAAAAAAAAAGGCAAGTCCTATCCTTATCGCTTTTGTTTAAAAAACAAAACAAGTCCTATATTAATCGATTCTGTTAAAAAAGGCAAGTCTTATTCGGATCGGCTCTGTAAAAAAATAAATAAAAATGCAAGTCTTATTCGTATCGGCTCTGTATAAAAAAACAAAAAACGGCAGCAAGTCCAATCCTTATCGGTTCTGTTTAAATTAAAATTTAAAAGTTAAAGATCCAATAAAAAAAAGGCAAGTCCTATCCTTATCGCTTTTGTTTAAAAAACAAAACAAGTCCTATATTAATCGATTCTGTTAAAAAAAGGCAAGTCTTATTCGTATCGGCTCTGTAAAAAAATAAATAAAAAGGCAAGTCCTATTCGTATCGGCTCTGTAAAAAAAATAAATAAAAAGGCAAGTCCTATTCGTATCGGCTCTGTAAAAAAAATAAATAAAAAGGCAAGTCCTATTCGTATCGGCTCTGTAAAAAAAGTAAATAAAAAGGCAATGTCCTATTCGTACCGGCTCTGTAAAAAAAAAAAAAAACCGGCAGCAAGTCCAATCCTTATCGGTTCTGTTTAAA